GACAAGGCTTTACACTCCTGTCATCTCCCATCAGGATGACTGCATTCACTTTCTAAACGGTCTTCTTGCTTCTGCCCTTGACAACTATAGATTGTTCTCAACAGCCAGCCAGACTGGTCCTTTAAATAATAGGAGTTAGATCTTATCATACCTCTGCTCAAAGCCACCAGGATCCCCTCACCTCTCTCAATCAGAGTAAAATTCAAATTATGGTAACCTGCTTCCATGCTGATCCTCCACTGACCTTCCTCCCGACTCGGTCTGCATCTGTCATGCTGGCTGCTCCTTCTGCTGTGAAATCTTTCTCATTGTAAATGATATCACTACTCATTTTCCTCACACCTTTGTTCATCAGTCCTCTTGGCAATAAAAATGGTCCCTCCCTTCTCCCTAAAACAGTAGCCAACTGCCTGGATCTGTAGCCCTTTGCTTCACACTATTGTTTTCCCAGAGCAAGTCTCACCCATTAATATACTGTACAATTTCCTGATTTGCTGTACTTACTAGTATTGCTCAGTGCCTGTGTTATTCTTCCCTAGAATGTAAGCTCATAAGGGAACGTGCTAATATACCCATATGTCTAAAACAATACCTGACACGTAGAATGTTGTAGAATGAATGCATGCTGTTTCCTAGTGGGGAAAAATCCCCTCTTGGGAGGGAGGGACAACTGACCTGTTCATTTGAAGGGTAATTGGGTGAATAAAGTATTTGCAGAGGGTAACGGAATCAATTCCGATAGGCTTAAAAGAATCAAGAATGATGTGTTATAGGTTAAAAGTCTTCATTGATTCCTTTGAAGCTTCCTCCCAAGTTCAATATGTATCTAGGAATATATGCCTTATAACACCAGAACTAGAAAAATATGGAGCAGGCCTAAAATAGCAGTCAGGGATACAAGATTTTTCTAAATCTTAGAATTAAGAAGAAAATCTTGGAACAACAGACGTCCTTGCCCCAAAGACTATATGGACTTATAGCTGTAGGATCTAAAGAACGAACCACATGGGAGGAAGGTGCTACCTCTGAGCCTGAACATTACAGCTGGTATAATTTAATCCATGGTATGGGTTGTTATCTAGACCCAGTGCTAACTGTGCTTATCTAGGCTTCAATTTATGGGCATTGGTCATTAAACTTGTGCTTGCTGTGATGTGGCTGTACCTGCTGTCTGTTTCCAAGAAAATAATCACAGCCAGGACACAGGGCTTGACAGAGCCTGTGGGTGGTAAATTATAATTGTTGTTTTTATGTACCATTGAATTGCCTGCGACTAATAGTGACCCTACATACAACAGCCCTAAACCTTGCTCTATCCTATGCCAATCTTATTGTCTCTGACACCCCTACCCCCATTACTGCAGTCACTGAATCAATCCATCTCATCGAGGGTCTTCCTCTCTTGTGCTGCTCCCTCCGCCTTCCCAATCATGACGTCCCTCCAAGGACTGATCCCACCTTGCAACATGTCCAAAGTATGTCAGACAAAGCTTCAGAATCCTTGCCTCAAAGGAGCAGCCTGGCTTCACCCTCTCCAGGTTGAACCTGTTTGTTCTCTTAGCAGTCCATGATATAGTCAATACTCTTTTCCAGCACTACAGCTAAAAGGCATCAATTCTCCTTCTTATCATCCCTGCTCATTGTCCAGCTTTCCGATGCATAACAAGTAATTGCAAAGAGCATGGTAATGAAATGGTCATGGTTGGAGCCTTCCTAGTTCTTCCCGCAGGTGGTTTTGGAAAGGGTACCATTTACTTGGGTGCCATGGGATTCTCTTCTCCCACAGTGCTTTATAGTTTACAAAGAGCTTTTAAAAGAAATGCTCTTATTTGGACTTAAAACATATTTATGTAAATATAAATAGCATCTCATCCCTTTGACAGATGAGGAAACCAAGTCTTAGAGGATTTGGTATTTAGTACAAGAGCTACAGGAAACTCTGCTTGCTCAGGGGTAAGGAGTTGTACTGCTAACCGAAAGGCAGGTGGTTCGTATCTATCAGCTACTCCATGGGAGAAAGATGAGCAATCTCTTCTCTGTGAGATTTATTGCTTCTGAAAACCCACTGGCGCTATGAGTTGGTCCCAACTCAACAGTACATAACAACAAGAGCAACAGGAAGAGGAAAAAGTGTAATTCAACAGGATTCAGCAGTTTTCTAACTTCAAGTCCAGCAGCCTTTTTTTATTCTCTCATACTGTCTTCCAGCCTTGTGTGAAGTTACATTTGTTCTTTTTAGTTCTTAAAGACATGGGCTATGTGAGAGAGGATGAAAATGAATACTGAGTTTCTCAATTCTCCTTCTTCCTCCTAATCACATACACTGGCCCATCTTACTAGCTGACAAGACTCCTTTTAACACTCAAACTCTTTCATTTGTACTGAGCCAGACCAATGAAGGTTGCAGAAATGAAGAACTTTTCAGACTGGGATGAGGGAAGGCTGGGAGACCAAGGAACAATTTGGAAGGTGGACTGATATTTTTTTTTCCCCTTAGGAAGGAAAACAACCCAAACTCTAGAATCCCTATGGTTATTTAAAATATAAATTTCAGAAAAATAACATTTGAACAAATTCTGACTAGTGGGGATACATACGAGGCTCCACCTAAGATGTGTATGTTCAGCAAAGAGCATCATAGGTTCAAGAGAGGGAGGGCTGCTGTTATAGTGAGAAGTGGGCTGGGCCCTACGCTGGAGCTTAGATTGCTGCTGTGTGGCTGGGGAGAGGCATCTCACCTCTTCATCATCACCTTTAGCCTCAGTAAAGCTCAAGTAAATTAATTCAGGGCAGCTAAGAATTGAACTATATAATCAATGCAAAAGTGAATAAAACCCCATAAAACCTTGCGTATGCAAGGTTCTGCACAATGATTTTCATGTTCCTTTCCTGTCTTATAACCCCTTGCAAATCTTCCTGTAGAGATTTTATTACCTAGGAAATGTTTTTTCCTTTAAAAACATGGCATGCTTGGGAGAAAATGGCAGGTGGAGTGATGATGTGGGCCTTCCCAATAGTGAGCCCCAGAGGACTTCCTGGGACTTCAGTGCGTCCTCTTTGCATTCAAAGGAGCAGCTGTCTGCCATCTCCTTGTGTTTTCTTCTACTGGGCTCTCAGTCACACTGCATATACTTTGATACAGTTATGCACTGCTTTCCATAAAACTACACCTTCTGAAGACAGGTCCAAGCACTGTTTCTTTCTTGTTTCTCTCTCCATGGTGCTCCCTTGGGCAGTTCAGGGCACTGCATGATGTAAGCTCTAAGCATAGAGGGTATGCTCTTTACATATGGTGTGCAACCGATGGGCTTGGACAACTCACGGATGGAGCACAGCTTAGGGCTCTTGCAGCCCGCAACATGGGGGATGCTGGACAGTAGTGGTGGTGGTGGGAGGGGTGAGGTGTAGAACATGAATAGGAAAATGGATTTTTTAAAGTTCTGAGGTTTTTAATAATCTGAGAATTTACTGGGAGAAGTCAAGGGAGAGTACATATATATACCTACACACCCACACACACATGCACACACTCTCATACACACCAGGAGACAAAGACAACCCTTGAATCTTGGAGATATAGATGCAATAACATTTGGAGCTTTAGGAAGAACAGGGAAGGATGACAGATTGGTGGGAGATGTATGGAAAGTGTAACAGCTTCTTTCCAAAGTCCATCTGCTAGAAAGGGAGCAAACCAGAGCTTCCAATAAGGGAGAACCAGGCCTATAAGATAACATCTCATTCTGCCTGATTGGAAGCTGAAGACAGTGGAGAGGGTGAGGATAAGGGCATATGGGGAAATGGTAGTGGTAGGCAGGCTATTTCCAAACATCTTAGATCAAAACTCTAAAGCTCCGTGCTATTATTCAATTGTTCAGTGCATCAAAAGTTTGTGCAAACATTACCAATCTCTTATTTAAGGAAAAATAATGACAATAAAACAACACATATTAAAGACTAACTGCAAGAGGGCTTGTCTATGGATAAAGAGAGAAGATTTAAACATGCCAGGTAACAAAAAGACATGTGCAGAAACTGGTAGAAACTGTATAGGAGGAAGCACCTCTTGGGAGGGGAATGCAGCAAGAGGCTTTGAAATGTAGGGGCTGAAGTTTTGTCTGGGGCCAGGGAGCCAGAAACAGAATTGTGAGGGCATCAAGGAATAGAGAAGAGTCAGGCAGTGCAAGTGTCAACTACTGGTGGTGGGTTCATGTGGGGGTGAGGTATCATACAGAGCTTGCTTCCACAGTAACCTGGAAGAAAAGTCCAACCAGAAGAACTCACTAAACCACTTAGCTCTTTAACTTCTCTAAAGAAGAGGGACACAAGTACGAGCCCCAACAAGACTGGCCTTCTGCTTCTCTCTGAATGAGGCTGCAGAAGGCCAGTCTAACTGCATAAACAGCTAGTGGCAAACTGAGGTGGAGTGTGGGACTAATGTAGCAGGGTGAGTGTGATCCAAAGCTGACAATACAGGCAAAGTCATAGCCTTAACTCCAGGTTTGCCACTTAAGAGAGAGTTGCTTTCTGAGATGTTATTTGAATAGAAAGGCAAGAAAGGGAGAGTCAGAGGTTTGGTGAATAGTGGCAGTGGGGAAGGTAGAGTTAGAAGTTTGGGTCCCTGCCCTAGCAGCTGCCCGGAAGTTGTCAAAATCTCTTCTTTTCCCCACTCCATGATTCCCATAGCTGCATCCTCCTATACAGTGTGAGTCATGCCAGGCTGATTGTAAGGGGAGAGAGATAAAAGATGCAGCAATCAAAACTTAAAAAGGAAAGGGAAGTCCTAGTTCGTTCCAAAAGTTTAAAAGGAAAAAAAGAAAAAGAAAACTTTTCAAAGTAAAGCAATAAGAAAAAAAAATTCCTTAAGCAAATAATAATAAAATGAAATCAGTATAGGAGGTAGGGAGGAGAAAAGAACATGAAGTAAGAAACAAACTGGGGAAAGACAAATGAATGTTAGAGCAGGCACGGACAGTTAGGTACAGACGCCATGTACTTACGTTTACCTCGGTGATTGCTATATCAACAATGCTACCCACAACAATCAAGGCGTCAAATGTATTCCATGCATCACAGAAATAGTGCTGCATGGGGCAGAGAAGCCGAGGAAAAGAAAGAGGAGAGAGAGAAAAGAAAAAAAAAAAAGAACAAAAAACAAAACAAACCAACAACAAAGGAGGAAAACAAAACAAAAAGAGGAAAATGGGGGGGAAAGGCATGAAAGAAGGGAGAGAAGAGAAAAAAAAATGAGAAAAGAAAGAGGTTACGTGGGCATATTAAATACTCTCTTACCACTCTACAGTTCTGGCGGCTCACACCTGGTTAACCTGGTTTTCGCAGGGTGGAGAAGCCTGACAAAAGCTGGGTTAGTTCATAGGTTACGCGCTGTGGCCAGCGGGCAGGGCCTGCGGTGCCTCCACGCCCGCTCCCTGGGCTCTCTCTGTGCCCGCAGGGCCAGCACAGCAAGGCAGAGCTGGGACCATGAAAAAAAGGAGGAGAAGCTCCCACTTTTTTTCCCCACAGGACGACGGCAGGTTCAATAAAAAGCATGACTGGAGGCGAGTAAAAGAAAAAAAACAACAACTGGGAAATAATAAAGAAAAAAAACTGAAAGGAGGTAAAGAGAGAGAGAATGAGAGAGTAAGTGAGAGGGAAACAGAGGAGGAGGGAAGGAGGTTTCCTGGGTAGGGCAGAGTAATACTCACATTAGTCTCACTGAGAATGACGTCAATTATGCTGCCAATTACGATGAGGAAGTCAAAAACATTCCAGGGATCACTAAAGTAACCCTACATAAGGGAGGGGCAGGCAGGATGGGGATTAAAAAGGAATATTAGATAGACAAGAACAGAGCAACATCACCATCAGAATCATTGTCCTGGCACCTCAATGTTGCTGCCGGAGTCCAGAATGCCCACACCGTGGCCAGGAGCCCAGGAGGGAGAGGCAGGGGCTCTAGTCCAACCCTCCTTTCTGCTCCCCAATCACCATCCTACAGATGCATTCCACCTCACCGCCCTCCTTCAAAGGCCCTTTCCACATCCTGCCAAGGGCAGAAGTGGATGTGAGAGTGGGTAGTACAAGTTAGACCAATTCAGGGATAGATCTCTTTTTGGTCCACTTTCAGCATCTCCTGACACCTCTCAGGTTTTTTTCTCTAAAAGGGTCTACCTAAGAGACATGTGACCTCTTAGAGGTGAACGGGCTGTGGTCCTAAGGGGTGTTTCTGGGAATGAAAAAGGCACTGAAAACCCGCAGCAGTTGGTGTGGGCCAGATGGGCATCTATGTCATCTGGGCTCAGAGATGACTCATGCAAAGCTCCAAAGTAACAAGAGGACTGAATCATCAACAAGCTTGACTCTCTATAGGCAGAACTGAGGTGACCCTTGCTTCTGGGCTGGACATACTCCTGTGAGGGCAAAAGCTTTACTAACTGGAAGAAGACAGTCTCAAGGTTGGTCTTAGAGTTTGGAAATGTAAGATGTGGCTCTTAGACAACAGTCTCTCCAAAGCATCATCCCAGGCTCCTCTCCCCAAACAATCTGTCTGAAATGCAAATGTCCTTGAGAAGGGGTGTCAATCATTTCTATCTCAAATGAATAAGGTCCTGCATAACTTTTCTGGGAACAATTTTACTAGGACTAGCCAGAGCACAGGTATGGGGAGACAGACTTCTTAAGAAGAATATGAAGGAAGTGGTGCCATGGAAGAGTGAGTCTGGAACAAAAAGGGAAGGCAAGTAGATTTTATCTGTTTTATACCATGATTTTTAAAAGGAATACCTAAATATCCTTTCTTTCAAGACCTTTTGCAGGTTCTTAGCCAACTGATTGACTAAGTTGTACAAATGGTTAATAATAGGTGGTCCTGAATTACCCAGAGGATGTAAGAGGACTGCTGGGTGAGTGGGATTTTTAACAAAGAATTGATGAGTTTCTTGGGTCTGGACCATTTGCCTCTTTGGAAGGTGTGGGAGCTTAGAGGAAGATGTTCAGTGAGCCCCTGAATATATGCTCATAATTCAGGAAGGTGCAGAACATTGACTGTCTCAGTATTCTCCAAGGGCAGGATGGGAAGAATCTTGCACTGAAGAGATCTGCCTTTCTCAAATAGGACATTTACTCCTTTCATTTATCAAGGAATATTTTACAAAGGAGATAAGATGGCACTGGACCACACTTGCTCAGCAGGACCAACACACTCCTGCTTTTTGAGACACTAAATAAGGATTCCAGGAGATGGAATTCTAGAGATTAGCAAGTGGGTATGAAATTATTACAGGCTCCCCAGCTCTCTCTCCAGTCCTCTCCATGGCTGCCAACTATCCTTTTGATTTTCATTTTTTCAACTCACAAGAGCCGAGAGTCTGGTTCTCCCATTTCCTCCTGGCTCTGTCCAGCTCTTGTCACCTCCCCAAGTCCCAGCCAGCCATGCCCTCTTTCCAGAGGGACGGCAAAACATGCTGTCCTGGGGCTGTTATTCTTAGTGTGGGAGGTCAGGTCATGGGGAAAGGGGCCTCATGGTTCCCAGGCATTTCTGCCAGAAGAAAACAGAAACACCACTGTGGCTGGCCAGCCTGAGGAAGCAGAGGTTGGCCAGGGCGTGGGTTAGGTGAGGGTCAACTTGAAACCATGACTTTCCTGTTGGCTCCCAGAGCATTTTTCTGAATATTTCAGAGCTTCTGAGGCAGAGAGGGGAGGGGGGGGGTGAAGGGGAGGAAGAAGAGAGAAGAGGGAAAGGGGAAGGGGAGTGGGAGGGGGAAGGGAAGAGGAGGGGGAAGGGGGAAGATGGAAAGGGGAGGGAGAGAGGGGAAGAGAGAGGACAGAAGGGGAAGGGGAGGAGTAGAGGGAGGATAGAGAGGGAGAGAGAGGACAGGGGAGAGAAGGGGGAGAGAGAGGAGAGAGACTTCTCTGTATGAACAGAATCCATTCCTTCCCAGGTTCTCAGCTATCATCCATAGGGGAAATGGGGAGCACTGATTCTTACAGGAATAGAAGTTAAGAATGAAGACCCTATTGTCCTAGTCCTATATGCATCCACAAATGTTTTAAAGTTAAATTTGAGACAACAGTGGGGATTATTATCTCTAGCTATGAATCCCATCTCTGAGGGTAGAGCTATTTCAGAAAAGAAAGAAAGGTCAAGAAAGATAGAATAGAGAAACAGCAACAAGAGGAGCACCCAGGAATATACAGCATCTAGCCTAGAAAATATGGTAACAAAACATTATCAGGGCAGGGGCGGGGGGGCGGGGGAGGAAGACAGGAAAGTGAGAGTCTCAGGGTTCCAGAAAAGAGAAAGAAAGAGCTGCAATCTTTTCATCCATCTGAGAGGCCTGAAACAAAATGGGTAAAACAGGCTTGTTGGTCTGCAACACCTCTGAGAGGAGAGAAGGGAAAAGGAAGGGCAGAGCAGGGCAGAGGCAATATGTCGAAAACCAGATATACACACAGAGGTTAATTCCAGCCGCTTTGTGCACCAAGGGGAACGGCTGCAACTTAAAGAGACTCTGTCAGGCTCCTGGCTGTGCCTCACTTGTCACTATTCTTCTCGGGTTTCTTTGCGCATGTGCAAACAGAACACCACAAGTCACTTGGATCTTTTTTGATCAAGGCCTTCCTCCAATCCCAGCTCTATTGCCAGCTCCTTCGGATTGGATTGGCTGGCTCCATTAGGGTTAACGCCTATGCCTCCCCCTAATCAGGCAGTGTTACTGGATAAGGTTATGATTGACCACTCTGTGAGGGCCAGAGCCTTCGCTGGGAGTAGACATCAACCAGCTGTTGCCCAGGGCCCTTCCCATATCATCTCTAATAGAGCGCTGCTGTAGATGTGGCCCCTGAGGATACACACACACACAGCTGGCAAGGGACGGTGAGGAGAGCTGGAAGGTGACAGAATCCCTTTAAGAGGCAGTTCTTCACCCTGATCCATCCACCCTCTTCCCTGCCCTTCGGCCAGGAGCCCATTCTCCCTCCAAGTCAAGACCATGGAGACTTCAAGTCTCCTTTCCCTTTGTGAGCCCCTTCCTGCCCCCTTCCAACAACCCCCCTGTCCCACACCCACTCCAGAAACAAATCATTTCAATCACCAGGTTGCCCAAGGGCAACATTCAGCCAGACCCCTAAGTGGGGGCCTATATTCTCTTTCTCTTACATATACACCCACTTATTTGCATCTACCCTCTCATATGCAGGAAACCATTGGCAAACAAGAGTCTTGGGGGTGGGATACCTGAAGGAAGAAGGGAGGGAGAATTGTAGCCTTTTTCTGCTAAAAAAAAATCAGTTCATTATACCTGTCACTCCTTTCTCTGGTTGATAGATCACAGATGGTGAGGTGAATGTCAGGCGTGTGAGGGCGGGGGGTAGTGAGGATTTTCTTGGCTCTCCCCAAAGTGGTGAATCAAACCTCTTTGCATTCAACTTCTCAGAGCCAAACAGGGCTAATCATTTAGAAAGGGGCTGTGTTTGGGGAGCAAGAAGCCTGTCCCTCAACATCCCTACATTTTTTAGACTTTGTAGATCCCATGTTTCAAGTGGCAGCCTTTGGGGTTGAGGTCAGGAACATGGACTTTCCCTGTGGTCCCCCTGGAGGGTCTCCTGCTCCTTCATCCTGGTGGGGGGCACGCTGGCCTGCAGATTTGCAGCTGCTCCTCCCTAACCCAGCACTTCTTCTCCTGACTGCTGCTGTCCCTCCGCTCCCTGGTTGAAATGGGCTGAGGATATGCAGACCCACTTGAAACAGCTTCAGCAAATCACGTTTAAGAATGAAAAATGGCTGCAAAAGCATCAAACAATGCCTTTTCCACGCACGTGAATTTTGGATTTCCCCTCTCTTTTGGATTATCTGTGCCTTGAGTCACCTCCACCATGGCAGATCCTTAAAAGATGAAACAGTAGAGTGAAGTAAAGAATCTGGGCCCTGGAGGTAGACTGGGTTCAACTTCTACTCACTTGCTCAAGCAAAACCGTTAGCCTCAGTTTTCCCACCTATAAAATGAGAACCTCAGGGTTACAGAGAGGATTAAATGGGGTTATATGGGGAAAGTACTTAGACTGCTCTGTAGCAAACTCTGTCTATAATCTATGGCCTTAGCTATGTATTAGTTAATCTGCCAAGCCCCCTGATGGAGGCAGGGCTTAAGGAGGGATGGGGCAAAGAAAGCTGGCACTCAGCCTAGATAAAGGGGTCCCTGAAAGGGAGAAAAAGCCCCCAGTGTGTGTGAACAAGCATTTGAGAGAGGCTACCCTAGTTGTTGCAGATGGGTGGGAGGAGTCTATCCGGCTCCCAGAATCAACTTAGTGGCAATTGATTTTTAGCTGTGATCTCTCTGGGGTCCCAGGCTGCATGTGGGACTGAGTGATGGGGAGAGCTGAAGAGACCAAGGAACTAAATCCAGCTGGCAGAGCAGCAGCAACGTCTCTGAGGGCGTCTGCGAAGAACTGATCCCATGGAAGAGCACATGGAACACAATGGTAACTGACACCAAGCAGAGATAATATAAATTATATTACATTAGGATGCCATTTAGACATAACAGTAATCATGGAAATTAGTGGCGTCTAACGGAGACGGCATAACTGGAGCACGCAGCTGCTCAAGGGGCCCCAGCAGCCTGAGGGGGAGGGAGGCCTTTCTGCCTTTTCTGTCAGCTCCCATCCTGTGATGTGTTAATTCAGGAGCGCCTGTAGGCACACACTGCACAGACAGCTCTGGACCAAGGGATGGAGGGCAGGGCAGGCTCAGGGGGCGCTGGCTGTGATCCCTGTTCTGAAGGAGCCCATT